TTCTGGGAGCTGAAGTCCACACTTCTTAAAGTTGCCAAGGTTGAGAAACACTGCCTAGATCATGGATTACAAATCACAGAGGGTTCACACACCGAGCAGAAATTAAAACATATTGCAGGTATTAAAAGCCACTCTGACTCTTCAGAGGTTGAAAGCCCTGATCCATCAAGCACCAACCTCAGGAGCCAGGAGGCAATTTTCCACCTGAGGCTGACTCAGCCAGACCCTCAGCCAAGAGCAGGTGTTGAGGAACAGACCCTGGCATGGCACTTAGCCCCAAGACTCAGTGACACATCTGAAGAGCAGAGCAAGGAAGATCTGTTCAGCTCCTCAAGAAGCAAGGACTCCAGTGCCCCTAAATGATCTGGGCCTGCAGCTGGGCTATTTAAGGGCAGCTGCTAGAGACCAGCCTTCCACTAGAAACAATCACCAGGGCTGGACCTGCATTCCTGTATCCTTGCTTTCTGCTCGACTTTTTGGCATTGGGTTCCTGGACTACTGCTGTCTCACCCTGTTTTCCTGAACCTGCACTACATTGGCTGCCTGCTTTCCAGCCCGACCCCTTGTCCCCTTCAACTACAGCTCTGAATTGGACTGTGTACCAGCTGCACCGTGCTCTGCTAACAGGTAAGACATTGCATCCCTGTATAATTCCCGGGGTGTGTGTGTGTGCATCTGCTTAGCTGGCTTTCTTCCTGCTTTGGTGTTTGCTGGAAGTTGTCAGTAAACCACTTGCAACTCACTACAGTGTGTTTGCTCAGCCTGGAACAGAACAGTGGGTTTGTGCAATTATGAACCCAGCCATTGGCTCATCCCAGATGGAACAGAGCACCAGATGTTGAGCTGTAGAAATTCTGTTGCCTTTACTGGCCTGGATTTGCGGAAAGACACTCACTTTAGTTACAACAAAATACCCCCTAGGTGTAAATGAGAAGTGTAAGCATATCCACCAGAACAAACCTATGTTAGCTATAGATAGGCGGCATACAAAATGAATGAATGAATGAATGAATGCTGGTCTTTGACTGTAATGAAGATTTGTATTGTATTGTATGTTAGATATATCTGTTCTGACCAAAATATATGACCTATATAAGATACCGTCTATACAAGTAGGTGATTACAAAAAAGAAAAACAAAGGCAAAACTCCCTGAGGATAAAATGTGAAACAATGCAAGAGAGAATAGATTTGTCACAATACTATGCAAAGCTCAGATGAATCAAAACCTAGTCATGTATACAGGATTCATCTGTGATCCACCTTGAGTTCATAGATATAAATTGTTCAAAGCAAATTTTCAAATACAAGACCTTGTCATGTTCCCCAGTTTGTACATCATGTTATGCCATAAAATAATTTGTTGATTAAGCCATTGTTGATTAAACCATTGTTAAATTTAGCATTATGCATTAACTCAGTCATAGACTGAGTTTTACACTGAGTTTTGCTTCTGGCAATTTAGGGAGGTAGTATCTATGCATCTAATGTTCATCAGTGAATTTGGTAGTGAATGTTGAATAAGATGGATAGCTTTGTAATCATTTCCTTTAATTAGGTCACAAGTGAATATTTAGTTTCCTCCTACCAGGGCTCTGCCATGTTTGCTTAACACTGTCTATATCATTGCTACACTAGCAAACAGAAATCTCCTGAATTAACTGACTGTATATCCAAACGTTATGTTAGCATGTTTCTGAAAACTGTTATTGGCATCTGTGCTTTGAAAAGGCATCCACTTCAAAGTAAAATAAAGAGTGCCTCCTACAACATAGTTTAGGATAACATTGGGGGGAGGGAGCTGAGTATTGAGGCATGAAAAACAGGCTAATTTTGTGGATGGTGTGAAGGTTTTGGTGTATATTAAGAGTGACTCTGCAAGACATAAGGTACATATTTTGCTCATTATGACCTTCTTATCCAGCCCCACAAAAGGACTGAAAACTTTGGCTTTTGAACTTCCTGAGATTGCAAAAAAAGGACGGGGCACAGCCATTTATGGCTTAAGATGAAGCATCATATTTCAAGAACAATGGGCTGCCTTTTACTTTTAAGTAAATTTCTCTTAAAAATAAAGAAATAGGGTGCCCCTCTAGGTGGTTTCTGCAGGCATACTGATGCCAATGGGTGCCATGTTGAGTACCCTGGCTGACTGGCTGTTAGTTTATGTATACCAACACTGCATCTCAAATTGCACATTGTCAACACTGGACCGTGAATTGATAGTAGATTTGTCCTCCATACATATCATTTGAAATAGACTGACCATTTATTGCTACTTAAATGCAGAACAAGAGTGGGGCACCCTCAATTTACACGGAGCCTCCATTTTCAGCAGCAAAAATATATTGACAGTGTGACTTTTCCCCCTAACATTTCAGCTGATGTTTTTAGCTCAACTCACTCCAGTAACATTATTGCACTATTAGCCATGTCCTTTGTGACCTTCAGCTACCAAAAATAGTTAAAATGTGTTCCCCCAGTCCCCCCTCCCCCCCCCACCAAGTCTTCCTGCTTACGTTTTAGAGCATTAGAACTGTTAAGTGAAAAATGGTGCATGCCAGTGTCATTATAATGTAAACCATGGAAGAAACTCAACTGCTTCTGGTGATGCAATCAAGCCATGAGGTGAGACATCATTCAGACAAAACAGACACAATGCTGTGCAAAGAATTTCCCAGAAAGACAGCAAACAATTTACAGAGATGAGTTGACTCCTAACACTTGCAAGTAATGATGACTAAATAATTTAGTAAAGTTTTTCCCCCAATGCCACATTCTTTTTTTCTCCCAAATGGAAAATTGCTAGATTTATTCACCCCTATGATCACAAGCAGCAGTTTCGCCCAACACTTAATTTAAAACAATCCTCCAAACAAAATGACAGAGGTATTTAAAAAGGACTTTTCTTTTAGAAGAGATCTACATGTCATCTAACTTGCCTCATGCTAAATTTCAAGCAAAGACTTAGTCATGGCTCTTTCTATTTTAGAATTGTTTTTTCTTAGTTTGGATAAATGAACACAGATTATGGTATGCTTTTATCCCTGGTGAAAAAACTGCAAGTGACTGAAGGGATATGGGGGGGGGGCTCAGAGAGGGGTACATGAGTGCAAAGAGATGGGTAGACAAGCTCAGTGTGCCAATGCAGAGCTGACAAAGTGCACCTTATGGTCGACCTACAACTTGCCACCAACCTTCTTGTAGCTCCTAGAGCCATCCCAGAGTGGCCAAACATTGCCCTGCTTGGCATTTTCTGGCATGGAGTAGGGGTACCCATTCCAAGAATGACTATGGCTCCCATCCACTTTAGAAGTATGTCTCATGAAATTTGCTCAAAGCCTAGGGCACACTTGAGCATCAGAAATTGTCTACTACTCTTTTAGTGGGAATGAGGCAAACAAGAGAGAGTCCTGCTTTGTCTGTGACTCCTTTTAAGTATGGTCTACTTCATGTAAGCATCAAAGGTAATTTAAACATCCTTGTATTAACTAAAAGTTGTCACTTGTTCATTTACATCAGAAGGGTTAAAAGCAGGGGTATCCACAAGGGGGAGTAAAAAAAAGTCAAGATGGTGACTGCCACCACGCAACTTAAGTCCTTTTTTTACAAATGTCACGGGAACCATCTTGACACTTTTTTTTCCTTGTGGACACCCCCAGTAAAAAGTCCAGTGTCCAGACCACATGTGGCCTGGCAGATGGTTAGATGCACAAAAAAAATGAGAACATAACCAACTTTTAAAACTCAAATACAGGAAAACTAATTTGATTTAATCTGTCAATTTGCTTTTTAATAAACATCAACAAATCTGGATAATTTCTTTGTTTTAGCTCTGCATGAAGCAGCTGAAGCAAAATAGGTCATCTCTCTTGAAATACTACAGTACATCTGAGGTGAGTAATCTAGCAGACCAAAGAGATTTCTTCCCCCAACTTTCAGAAAACCAGTGGCATGTAAAGAGGGCATTAGCTATGGAAATTTGGCTTATCCAAATGAAGCTAATAATACCTTATAATAGCTGTTGAGTTCAAACATTTTATGAAGCCATAAATCATTTGTTTTTAATTTAATATGATGTGCAAACAAAGCCAGTGAATCCACCAAATATTGTTTTAGGTCAGCAAGTCCCACTCCGAATCCATATTTGTTGTTGGCTTCTGATTGACTTAGTGGGATACCCAAACTGGATTGTATGGCTTCTTTTGATTCCTGACCCTGTTCCTGGTTTATGTCTCCCATCAATGCCTCTAACTCAGACATGTACGGCCTTTAGGTGTGGTTCCCAGATCCCTTTCAAAAGTTGCCATGAATTATATTTTTATTGTGAATGATAGGGGCAGTAATATTAAAATACAAGGAAGTCGTCTCATTGAGAGCCAGTTTGGTGTAGTGGCTAAAGAAGGAAACCAGAAGATGGCCTTAGGCACACAGCCATCTGGGTGACCTTAGACCAGTCACTCTCTCTCAGCCTTAGGAAGAAGGCAATGGCAAATTACTTCCAAAAATCTTGCCAAGAAAGCTGCAGGGAAAGTTTAGGAAAGTGCCAGGGGCCAAAACTTTGGAGTCACATGCTCCCCAGCACTCTAGCCAGAAGCTGCGTGCAGCCCTTGGCTTGAAGAAAGTGCAGATAGGGGGAAGTCTGTCAGTTTCAGTTGCTGGAGAACAAGTAAGAATGGAAGATACCACCTTTTGTGAACTGCCCAGAGACACTTGGCTTATTAGTTTCAGGAAGGATGGTGGGATCAGGGAATTTGTAGATGTTGGAGTAGAACACACATTGGCTATATCACCTGGAGCTGAAAGGAGTTGCCATCCAGCAGTTTCCCATCTTGGCATTACATGGACATCTTACTTCAGTAGGGCAACCACTGGTTTGTGTATTATATTACAGTAGTTTTTGCAAGGCAACCAAGAGAGAGGTCAAGCTCCTTTTTTCAAAGTAATGAGATTCTGCTATGTTGAACACCTGGTAAATGTCATTTTAAAAATCTGGGAAGATAAACAGATGGGCTATTCCCCAGTCATTTTTAGTCTTCTCTTAGGAATATTGCGTCTCCTTTCATTGTTTAAGAATTGCACAAGCAGTAAAGAGCAGTTTCATCTTAGGTGGGAGAAAGAATGCAGTAATGATTGGGTTGAGGTCAAGTTAAGCAATAGGAAGAATGTCTGAATAACTATTTCAGTGAACAGGAAGAAGCAGAGAGGCTCGAGACTGATTTCTAAGAAAAGGAAAAAACGGAAACAAATCATGATTGTAAAGGCAATACATTCCTCCCCCTTCCATTGAGATTTGACTCATAGCTTATTGAAGTCAAGAGATGAGTTTCCATGGTGTAGAAAGGACTTTGATGAAGGCTTCAGCTGCTATAAGGTGGTTACAGGAAGAATTTGAAAATAAGTTTGCCTTAAATGGATTTTGCTCCAGGTAACCTTTAATCATTCATAGAAAGGGACAGTAATTTGTCAAATATAAACCCAAATCAAGACTTTTTCAAAATTGGTTTGTTGAACAAAATCTGTAGTAGCAGCTCAGAGAAAAGGAAGAAGGAAAATCTAGGTCAAGAATGAAAGGGGAAATCAAATGGCCTATCAATTATAACTGTCATCTCAAAGCGCTCCATAAAACAGTTAGGAGGTTTCGTAAACATAATTAAAAATCCTTCCACTCAAAGAATGATGTAAATTACTAATAATATTTAATAAGAAGAAGCACAGCCACAGCACACAGTTAATTGCACATTTAAAAATTCTAGTGCGTTTGTCATCTTCTTCCGATTAAGCAGTAATTCCAAATCTGCTATTCTATCCCTACTTAAATCCCCTTGATGAATAAAGCAGCCATTTGTTTACAATCATCCTAACTTTATTTGCTGCAATCTTTCATATATGCAATAACACCACCTATGATTATCTGGCTTCCACAGTAATAACACAGTATGGTACTTTTTTTTGTTTTTTTAAGAGAGAAAGAGATCAGGAAACCGTTACTGAGAAATTACACTCATTATTTTTCCTCACAGTTGTTATCACTCATATTATTTTCCAGCTTGGATAAATTCCACGACCACCCAAAATGCTCTCTGTGCGCAAACGCTTGTTTGGGAAATCAACCAAGGAGCTGCAGTTTATCATTCCAGCTGGGGCTTGTACAGCTGCAACTGTAGAAAGCTGCTAATTGCCTTGGCTTCATTCATGAAATGGTGTGCAGAAAGCAAGTGTTGTTAATCTTTGGGGTGGGAGCAGGTTGACACTGCAGTGTTCTTCAATCTGTTCTCTTCCATGTGTGTTTAGATTGGATTCCCATAACTCTCCAACCAGGCTAGTTTTGACTATGGGGAAGTGTGGGTGTGTAAGTCCAAGCCAACTGAAGGGGAACTGATGAGAAAGGCTACATTGGAAGATAATCTTGGTTTTGTTGCCAGACTATGGTAACAAAATACAATGGGATGGTCAAGTACTGATAAGCCTGTTGGGTTGCTTCTTTCTTTTACTCTGTTTTTTCTTTCCTGCTTACTTACACTCATTTGCTCTTACTTCCAACAGTGCTCCATGACCTCACCACTACTGTCATTATCATCATCTAGCAAAAGGGCCTTTCTTGAGTATGACACGAGAGACTCAGGGCACAATGTTTGTCTGAGCCTCACTGCCTCACCATCCCACTTCCTTCTCAGAGCATCTTGCATCAGTGTGTCTCTTTCTCTAAGGCAGTGACCCATGAAACAAGATTACGCAGGGAAACCCAACATTCCTAAATAATTCTCATTCATTCATTCAGTTTAGGCACTGCTGGACTTCAGACTGACTTGGGGTGGCTCACAGTGCAATACAATTCTTGAGATTATAGATGAATTAGTATTATTATTACCATGAATTAAATACAGTGGTACCTCGGTTCACGAACTTAAATCGTTCCGCGACTCTGGTCGCAACCCGAATTGGTCGCGACCCGAATCAAATTTTCCCATAAGGTTAAATGTAAATTGGGTTTATCTTTTCTGACCCCTCCGAATTTGGTCGCGACCCGATTTTGGTAGTGTCCCAAATCAAATTTTCCCATAAGGTTCAATGTAATT